GCATTTGATAGAGTGGACTGGGGCTTTATGATGGACAACTTAAAAGTGCTGGGGATAGGTGATAGAATGCGAGAGTGGATAAGTAAATTATATAGGGAGCCTACTGCAATCATCACGGTAAATGGGGAGAGATCAGAACCCATCGGAATGTCTAATGGTACAAGACAGGGCTGTCCACTGTCCCCTCTGCTATATGTACTGTCACTTGAACCTCTGTTGTCAATAATAAGAAATAGTGGATCGGTAAAGGGAATTCAGATAGAATCCATAGAACATAGAGTAGCGGCCTTTGCGGACGACTTATTGTTCTATGTGGGGAATCCCCGAATAACTCTCCCAAATATAATGAAGATTCTGAAGGTATGGTGAACTATCAAATTTAAAAATTAATCCAACGAAAACAGAGATCCTGATTATTAATATACCAAAGAATGAAAAAGAAAAACTACAAAAAGAATTTCCCCTTTATATGGAGAGAAAAAGAGATAAAATACCTAGGAATAAAAACTCACTGCCTCATCTAAGCATTTGTATAGATTAAACTATATCTCTTTGATAAATGAGATCAGGGAAGATTTAAAAAGACTAGAAGGAGGAAATCCATCCTGGATAGGACGTATAAACCTAGTCAAAATGGTAATTATGCCTAAAATACTGTATAGATTTCAAATGGTACCAATTAAAATTCCAGAAGCCTTCTTTAAGATAATGAAAAAAATGTTAACAAGATATATTTGGAAGAATAAAAAAACCTTGAATAGCATATGAAACATTGAGTAGGACTAAAGAGAAAGGGGGATTGGGCCTACCAGATGTCAAGAGATACTATAAAGCAGTGGTTTTAGCAAGAATATATGACTGGACATTTAACCATAAGGGGAAAAGTTGGGTAACAATTGAAAATGATCTTAGTGGCAATAGATTGAGTGAGATGATATGGGTCCCACCACAGTTTAGGGGAATTAAAGAAAGCACAAGTATCTACACTTTAAATGTCTTTAGGGTATGGGACAATTTACACAAAAGTATGAAATGGGAATTTAATTCTATTTTAATGCCTCTCACAAATTCTGAGTACTTCCCCCCGGGAAAGAATAAGATATCAGGGAGATGGTTTAGAAAGGAGGATACCCAATTGAGAGATGTTTTGGTGGAGGGAGAATTGAGATCACTTAAAGAGTTAATAGAGAAGAAGGGAGATATTTTTATTAGAATAGATGAGTGGAAATATCATCAATTGAAAAGTTTTATTGGAAATCTACCGAAACCCCTGAGAATAAAACAGGAGTGGAATATGTTTGAAAGGTTGTTAGAGACACGAAGGGATGGGAAGCGCGTATCTCAAAAGTGTATAGAATACTCACAGAATTAGACACAAACACAAAGTTAATTTTTATGACAAAATGGGAAAGGGATATGGGAGTTGGGTTTGATGAAGATAGACAGAGAAAGATGTTTAGATTGATACACGATAATGTTAGTATGAGAGAGGTTGAGGTTAATTATAAGTGTGTGACACGATGGCACATTACACCGAGTGTAGAGCACAAGATGAATGGGGAAAACTCAAATATGTGTTGGAGAGGATGTGGAGAGATAGGCACGGTGTTTCACATATGGTGGGAATGTCCGAAAATCCAGGCTTTTTGGAAGATAATAGTTAAATTAATTGAAGAAATAACTGGAATTGACATAGGGTTAGACCCAACGACGTGCCTCCTACACAATGTGGAGACATCTGTAAATAAATATAAAGATTCAGGTATTTGGTACTTCTTGAATGCGGCGAAAGGGTTGATACCCAAGTTTTGGCGGAAAGCTGAGGTACCGAAGGAGGAAGACTGGATTAATAGAGTAAACCAGATAGGTAGAATGGAAAGATCATACCATATGCAAGAAGATAGGATGAGAGTTTATTCCAGGAGATGGGAAAAATGGGAAAGAGCAAGATTGAAAGAGAAATATAGGAAGATATGAACTAGGATGTTCGCAAAAAAAAAAAAAAAAAATTAATAAGCCTCAAGAGATTAGAAAGGGCTAGAGTCTGCAGAGGGGGAGGAGGGGAGAGGAGGGGCGGGGGGGGGGGGGGGGGGGGGGTAGTGGGACGGGAAGGAAAAGAGTTTTTAGTAAGGGAAAGGTAGAAATGTTATATAATTTGTCTACTTGTATGAGAATTATTTCCCTTTTTGGATTTTTGTATTAATATGAAAAATTTAATAAATATTTAAATTAAAAATAAAAAAGGACAATTAAGGATAAATTAGTGAAAGCCACGGGAGGGACTCTGAAGAATTGGCCAGCTGTGTTACCTGCTATACTAGCTGAAATAAGGATGACACCTCATAAACGGAGTAAGTTGTCTCCTTTTGAGATACTAATGGGCAGACCATTCCCTACCCCTTGGACTAGACAGCAACCCCCTCTGTGGCAAAAAGGAGATTTAGAGGTGATACAGACAGAATATGTAAAAGCATTGTGTGAAAAGTTGAATAGGGAATATGGTGATGTTGCCGCTTCTTTTCCTTTACCCGCAGATCAACCAACCCACCCCTTCGAGGTAGGTGATCAAGTGGTGATCCGAAGACTGGATCCAAGGGTGAGACCCCGGTTTGGAGAACCTACAGTGATCGTGGCCATTACACGTACAGCTGTTCTTACTGAAGGATCAGGCACCTGGATCCATGCGTCAAGAGTGAAAAGGATTTCCCAAGATGAGAGATACAATCAAGCTGATCAACCAACAGAAAAAGGAGCCAAGAACTTTGCTACCCAACCTATTGGATCCCCATGAGGACTGGAAGAACCTGATTATTATCTTATCAATAGTGACTATTATCATTGTCCCACTCTGGTTTCTATTGGAGATTTCATATGACAGAAATGGGCTAGTGGTTCAGAAACCCTCTGGGAGCTCAGGATGGGTGGGAGGTTGTACCTCATCACAACCGGATGAGAATAAGTCATGTACTACATTAACATCGAATAGCCCATCTGAATTACATCTGGTAAAAGGAGCTAACCAAACATATACCCATCTGATACCTTTTAAAGGTCAATGTAAAATATACATTAATACTACACATAACTTTACATGTTGCATTATGGATGAGTGTAGTCAGGCACTAACTTGTAAATGGAATGAGGGTTTTTTGTTACATGTTCTGAAGGGAAGCAAAGTGGTTGCTAATTTTGGGTGTACCATACCTGTAAAAAGACAGAAGAGGTCTACAACTGAAAATATGTCATTACTGAAGTTTAAATATAAGTATGCTAAATTCTCAGGGTTTAAAAGTTGTTGGGTTTGTAGCATGCTCCACCCTGAAACTATTAGCATACCCATATATGCAGTACCCCTAAATGTCACAACTATGTTGGAGGGTAACCTGAGTATTATATTAACTAATGTTACCACCCAACCTAAATTTGAGGTATTGGGGGTCGTTATGAAACCCAAATGGTGTTTTCATCTGGGTAAGGGATCGAGAGAAGGGGAAGAGTTTTGCAGTAAATCTGAATTAAATATTACTGGGAAGGAACCTACAAGTGGTCATTTTATACAAATAAATACAACTAAGGGAGAATGGGAGAATTACATTAAAAAAATAATTGACCAAAAAGATCACCCGAAACATTACGGATTAGGACGAGTTTTTATTAATTTAGCCCTAGTGGGTTACCCTGACTCCAATGTAAGCAAAGGATGGAAAAGCCAATCAGTAGCTTTTACTGAGGGAGTCCAGGTGTGCTGTGGGAAAGTTTGTTACCCATGGATTCCCGGGATCAGGAGGGTTGGTGCTATTTAGCCACTTTGGTACCAGTGATGGATGTTATGGCAGGAGAACATAGTGATGCCCTATTGGCCAGTAATCATCCCTGGTATCCTCTGCAACATAGATATAAGAGACATTTGTTCAAGGTAGAAAACCAGGCTTGGTCATGGTTTCCTACATGGACTGGATGAATAGAATAGAATTAATGAGGAGACTTAACTACTCACTTATTATGGATCAAATAATAAATGAAACACAAGCTGAAATAAGTCTTATTAACGTAGAATTACGGGCCTTAAGGAAACAAGTGCTTATTAATGAGATGAAGGTAGAACAAATCGGTGCAGCATTGACTGGACTTTGTGAATCTACCACTGATTATAAGTGCTGTACCTGGGTACACAATACAACCGCTGAAATACCAGATTACTATGAAATGATTAATAAGCATAGGGAAAAGGTGGAGGATCTCCAGGCTGAAGCTAGAGCTATAGCTGAGGATGGGTGGAATCCTTTTAAGGGCATAAGAGATGGTTCCTGGTTTAGGAACATATTTAGCAGCTTTAGAAAATTGATCTCCCTCATGATTATGTTTTTCTTACTGATTTTTTATGGGATATCTGTTATACCGAATGATCATGTGTATCAAAATGAGAATTAATAAGAAGGAAAGGGAGGAAATGTTTTTTGCTTCAACAATATGAGGAAATGCATAGGATTGAGCCGATAGGGAGAGTGAGCCAATGAAAAGTGTTATCACTATGTGATAAAAGAGGGGACTGAAAGGATTAAATGGAATATAACTGAATCCATTTTGTATACAGTAATACAAGATGCTAGTTTAACATATATATGTAATTTGTACACACTAAACAAAACTGTCTATGCCAGCTTCATGTAGAAATGAGTGTCTTTGCAAGCTTTACAAAAAAGCAGATAAGGTTTACTCTCATTTCTGAAAAGTTGTAACCACAATTTGGGCGTTGGGTCAGATTACAGCTATGGTCTGGGCGTTAGACCAGATATGGCATGATAGATAAAGCAGAAGAGTGAAAATGCAAACCTCATACAAATAATTGTTGAGTTAAGGTAAAAAATGTACATGTATTTAATTGGATGGTCTGAGGGTGTGTTTGCCCAAAGACTACAGTATAATAACCCTGATGTTATGCTAATAAAACTGAAGTGTTTTGCAATCGCAACTGAGGTGACTTGAGTGCAATCACTTTCCCAGATCTGGAAGCTGTGTCCAGGTGTGACCGTTGGTATCTTGAGGGGGCCCCCAACAAACAAAGGAAAAAGACCACCAATCTACTTTCAGCGGGCATACTACAGGAGATGACCAAAGACTGCGGACATACTTCAGGAGATGACCAGAGACTGCAGACACAGTACAGGAGATGACCAGAGACTGAGGACACAGTACAGGGGATGACCAGAGACTGCAGACACAGTACAGGAGATGACCAGAGACTGCAGACACAGTACAGGAGATGACCAGAGACTGCGGACACAGTACAGGAGATGACCAGAGACTGCGGACATACTACAGATGACCAGAGACTGTGGACACAGTACAGGGGATGACCAGAGACTGCGGACCTTTGGGAGGAGGGGAGCGGGTACCCAAATTTGACAGGTACCCGCTCCCACTTCCTCCCTCCCTCCCCATCTTCTGGGACACGTGACAGGTTCCAGAAGACTGCCGGACCATTCACAAAGTGCAGCGCTTCTGCTGTCACAGTCGGGTGCCAACATTAAAGATGCCCGCGCCGGGAGAGAAGACCATGAGGACACCACTGGACTGAGGAACAGGTAAGGTTCTGCTGTAGAGAAGAGCTGAGCGGCTGGCCCAGTATTCTGACACGGCAGCGGTGGGAATACCGGGCCAGCTGCTCCATATGACGCACAGACATTTTCCCCCCATTGTTTTTGGGGGAAAAAAGTGCATCTTGTGGAGTGAAAAATCTGATATATACAGTGAGGAACAGAGGTATTTGAAACACCCTGCGATTTTGCAAGTTCTCCCACTTAGAAATCATGGAGGGGTCTGAAATTCACATTGTAGGTGCATTCCCACTCTGAGAGACAGAATTTAAAAAATCTCAGGAAATCACATTGTATGATTTTTTAAAGAATTTATTTGTCTTGCACTGCTGAACATAAGTATTTGAACACCTGAGAAAAGCAGTGTTAATATTTGGTACAGAAGCCTTTGTTTGCAATTACAGAGGTCAAACGCTTCCTGTAGTTCTTAACCAGGTTTGCACACACTGTAACAGGGATTTTGGCCCACTCCTCTACACAGATCTCCTCTAGATCTGTCAGGTTTCGGGGCTGTCGCTGAGCAACACAGAGTTTCAGCTCCCTCCAAAGATGTTCTATTGGATTTAGGTCTGGAGACTGGCTAGGCCACTCCAGAACCTTGATATGCTTCTTACGGAGCCACTTCTTGGTTATCCTGGCTGTGTGCTTCGGGTCGTTGTCATGTTGGAAGACCCAGCCACGACCCATCTTCAATGCTCTGATTGAGGGAAGGAGGTTGTTGCTCAAAATCTCACAATAAATGGCCCCATTCATCCTCTCCTTAATACAGTGCAGTCGTCCTGTTCCCTTTGCAGAAAAGAACCCCCAAAGCATGATGTTACCACCCCCATGCTTCACAGTAGGGATGGTGTTCTTGGGATGCAACTCATCCTTCTTTTTCCTCCAAACACGACGAGTGAAGTTTAGACCAAAAAGTTTTACTTTGGTCTCATCTGACCACATGACTTTCTCCCATGCCTCCTCTGGATTGTCCAGATGGTCATTGGCAAAGTTCAGACGGCCTGGACATGTGATGACTTGAGCAGGGGAACCATCCGTGCAATGCATGATTTGAAACCATGACGGCGTAGTGTTCTACCGACAGTGACCTTTGAAACTGTGGTCCCAGCTCTCTTCGTGTCATTGACCAGCTCCTCCCTTGTAGTTCTGGGCTGATTCCTCACCTTTCTTATCATCAGTGATACCCCACGAGGTGAGATCTTGCATGGAGCCCCAGTCCAAGGGAGAGGGAAAATTTTCAACTTAAAAATTAATTTGTATGTGGCCATCATAGGTTACAGCAGGTGCAGTTAGCTTGTATCAAGCTACCTGCCTATGACAAGGGAGTCTGTCATGCATAATATTAAATTACAGTCCTGTCTGAAAATCTGCAAAATAGTGTTTTAGGTCTTAAGTTTTTTTTTTAAAGATAAACATTTTGATCTCTGAGTCTGATATGTATCAGATTCACCCTCTAATAGTACATAGAGTACAGTATATCTTGTCTGTCTGTTATACTCAGAGTGTATTAGGTAGTTTGTTCTCTAACCATACATCTGGTTATTTGTATTTACCACTGCATATAGATATTCAAGAATAAATTGTCTTTTTCTTTTTAAACTTTACAAATTTACTAAATTATAAACCACACTTTTTTCGAGGTTTTATCAGATTAATCGATTAATCAAAACAATTGGCCAACTAACCAATTATGAAAAGAATAGTTAGTTGCAGCCCTAATATACACACACAAACCCACACCTGTCTATTAAAGTGTTACTAAACCCACAACAGTAAAATCAGTCTGTATATGCAGTAAACATGAAAGAGAGAGAAAGGTGCCTCTAAGTACAGTATAGACAATGTCTTAGTGAACAACAGATGAATTGCACTTACAAGATAAACAGTTAAAAAGGCACACTGTGGTGTGTTAAGATCCAGGTGAGACAATTTTATAGTGTGAAGGGAATGAGGGAGCCAAGTAGTTCCTGGGTCCTAAGGACCTACATGTATTCCTGCATTGTACAGGAATTAATACATACCGTATTTTCCGCCGTATAAGACGACTTTTTGACCCTTGAAAATCTTCTCAAAAGCCAGGGGTCGTCTTATACGCCGGTACACGTCAGGAGGCACTTTTTAGGGGAGCGGCGTGGTGCTACCGCCGTCCCCCCCTTCCGACGGAAGGGACACCAAGTACAGGGGTTGGCAGAGGGCTGCAGTCTCTTACCTGGCTCCCACGACGATCCATCCAGGAAGCGCTGCTCCTTCAGTCACTCCGGCCACTCCCACTCGTGCAGCTCGGCTCCGCCTCCTCACCGGTGATTGGCCGCCAGAACTGTAGCTCAGGAAAGGCACACAGGCGGCCAATCACGGGCGAGGAGGCGGAGCCAAGCGGACTCACGGAAATCGAGTGAGGGTAAGTGTGCAGTGCAGAGGTGCTGCTGCAACCACATATGCTGGCTGCAGCAGTACCATACTAGAACAGGAGTCAGCAAGTGTCATTGGTGTCAGTGGGAGGAATAGTGCCCCATCATTGGTGTCACTGATACTAATAATGGGGCATTATTCCTCCCACTGACACCAATGATGGGGCACTATTCCTCCCACTGACACCAATGATGGGGCACTATTCTTCCCACTGACACCAATGATGGGGCACTTTTACTCCCACTGACACCAATGATGGGGCGCTATTCCTCCCACTGACACCAATGATGGGGCGCTATTCCTCCCACTGACACCAATGATGGGGCACTGTTCATCCAACTGACACCAATGATGGGGCGCTATTCCTCCCACTGACACCAATGATGGGGCACGATTCGTTGCTCTGACACCAATGATGGGGCACGATTCCTCCCACTGACACCAATGATGGGGCGCTATTCCTCCCACAGACACCAATGATGGGGTGCTATTCCTCCCACTGACACCAATGATGGGGCACTGTTCATCCAACTGACACCAATGATGGGGCGCTATTCCTCCCACTGACATCAATGATGGGGCACGATTCGTAGCTCTGACACCAATGATGGGGCACGATTCCTCCCACTGACGCCAATGATGGGGCGCTATTCCTCCCACAGACACCAATGATGGGGTGCTATTCCTGCCACTGACACCAATGATGGGGCACGATTCATTGCTCTGACACCAATGATGGGGCACTATTCCTCCCACTGACACCAATGATGGGGCACTATTCCTCCCACTGACACTAATGATGGGACACTATTCCTCACACACTGAAACTAATGATGGGGCACCATCATTGGTGTCAATGGGAGGAATAGTGCCCCATTATTGGTGTCAGTGGGAGGAATAGTGCCCCATCATTGGTGTCAGAGTGAGGAAGCGTGCCCCATCATTGGAATACCATACCATATTGAAATCAAATCTGATGTTTTTTAATTTTTGGTATGCGTTGGAAGAGGGGTAGTCTTATACGGCGAGTATAGCCCAAACCCTATATTTTAACAGGAAAAGTAGGGGGTCGTCTTATACGCCCAGTCGTCTTATACGCCGGCAAATACAGTATATAAAAATAGATATAATATTAATATGAAATTAATTACGATATCTGTATTAATTCCTGTACAATGCAGGAAAAACATGTGGGTCCTTAGGACCCAGAAACTACTTGCCTCCCCCATTCCCTTCACACTATAAAATTGTCAGCGTCCTATCAGAGCTTAGGTCTGAAGGAGCCTACTGAGCATGCTCCAAAACGCGTTACCGCCCCCTTCACCTCCTACATCCAATGCTGCTCTCCAAGCCTCATCTTGATAGACAGAAATATCCTAGTTCATACTTCCTGATCCTACGGACTGAGCTGCTGCTGGACAGCTGGATGTCTCACCTGGATCTTAAAACACCACAGGATGGGTCTTTTTAACTATTTATCTTGTAAGTGCAATTCATCTATTGTTGACTAATAAATTGTCTATATTGCACTTAGAGGCGCCTTCCTCTCTTTTTCATGTTTACTGCATTAGAGCCTTGCTTCCACTCTAAGAAGAGCTGTCTCAGTGTTATTGCTCCCATCCATCCCTAATATCCATCTGGCACCTTTATCCTACAGATTCAGAGGTTGGGCTCTAACAAGCGCACCCTATATCATATACATTTTCTGCATATGCAGTAAAGCATGCGTGTTATACTCACTGTGGAACCTAAGGGGTTAATCTTCGGCACTGCGTAAAAAAGACTTGGATCCTGCCTTCTCTGATGCTCCCCTTCTTCCAGTGTCCCCCCTTATCTCCTGATAATACATGTGTGGAGTCACTCTGCACATGCTCAGTTTGGTGTGCATTGTTAGTTTTTTTTCCCCTTGGAAGAGTGTATGTGATCAGCACAGGGCCAATCAGCACTGTCCAGACAGAAGTCAGGGGTTTTGCATCCTCCTAGACCAAAATGACAACTCCTCCTACAAGCTTTAACATGTGCTTGGCTGGACACTGATAGAAGTCACAAGACTGTTCTAACTGCTGATGAGAAAAGGGTATTTAGCAGTTTATATTTACTAAAATATTTTCACTTCCATGTATACTGCAGGAGACCATGCAGGGTCCTGGGTATAGTAACACTTTAAGCCCTTATGGTCTGCATTTAGCAGTAGCTTTTTCATGTACAGGACACGTTCTCACACTTTCTTTCCAGCTCCTTCTTCTGAGAGTTTCAACCTAACAATCCCGAGAAAGGACATGCATATTAATATATCAACATATAAAGTGAGCGCCTTCCAGTCTATCAATTCCCAGATTACAGCAGCTGTACACAAAAGGCACCATATAAGACCTCTAAAACAGATAAAAAACATAAACGTGCAGCGCTGTTAAAACCAATAAATAAATACATATATAAACATGTAAGAAAGTGCACACAAATATATAAA